CAGGGGATGGCCCCCTCGGGTTTTCCCCCTCCTCCCCCTCTCTACGCCACAACCCCGAGCTCCAGGAATGGCTCGGGGTCTGGGGGGTGGAATGGGCGCCCCCCTCGGGACTCCCGGGGGAGCCCGCAGGGTGTCTAACGATGGAAATGTCCCCAAATGGTCGAACGACTTTTTGGGGGTCCCCGCAGGGCCAGACGACAAGCCTCTCGTGGCTACACCGGGAGTGGTCGTGAGGGGCCCCATTTTACCCCGCATCCGCCGTAGTGCCGGAACTCCATTTCGAACTCCTGTGCGCTCCTCTTCCCCCGTCGGAGTGGATAACGCTCTCCCCCCGCCCCTTTCCCCCCCAGGGATGATAAAAACAGCCCAAGGGCGGGAGAACTCCGGAGGTGATGTTTGCGGATCTATTCCCCCCACGGCGTTGGCCCACTCCAACGCCTTGCCGGGTTAAAAGGGATGAGGGGGGGAGACCCTCGTATTTTCCCAGGGGGCCCCGGGGGTATTGGCAAGTAAAAGTTCCCCCGCAGAGGGAAACCCCGACACCCCCGGTGCAGAAAGCATATGCCCTCGGGAGGAGAGCCGAAGCCACTGGGTTTGGTGGAGAGAGGAGGAGGGTTGGTTTGGGGGGTTGTAAAGTTCGTGGGACCTCTCATTTTACCAATCGCGCAGAGTTGGGGCCCCCTGTCCCTGGCGGCCCCGATTGCCGGATCATGGGGTCCGGGATTATCCCGGGCTCCCGGGTTCGGGGGGCCGCCGCTGTTCCGCTGAATCCCTGGGGGTTTTGTTTTCTTCCTAAACCGATGGGATAGGTGGAGGAGTCAGGCGAGGGCACTGAGGTTAAATCCAACAGAATTTTTTAGTCCCCCAAATAATAGGAAAAACCTCCCACTAAAAAAAACCAAAAAGGGCGAGGGGGGAATTTTCGCAACGCGAAAAACTAAAACACAAAAAAACAGAAGCAGACGAGCTCCGACACTGTGCAGTAAAAAACAACACCCCAAACATACTAGAACAAAAAAAAGGGAAATTATAAACCGTAATCAACAACAACTGGGAAAAGGTAAAGAAGACAAAGCATCAAAAGATGAAACATAGAGCGTGGCAGGTATACTCCGGGGACGGCGAAGCCGAAGCCCGCCGAACCCGGGGAGGAGCATCTCGGCCGAAACCCTGACAAAAGTAAGTAAAAATTTTTTACCTTTAGAGGTGAATGTATCAAAACCCGCCTTGATAATTTTTTTTTTTTGTGACCTCCTCAAAAAATAGCATGGAAATTTTTTCACTTTTTTTAAAAGCTACTGTAAATTTGGGCAGGCAGTTTTCATTGAAGTCAGAGTTAATACCTTAGGTTGGAGTCATTAAAAAATCGTTTTTCAACCCCCAAATGTCTTTTTAACAAACTATAGTTTTGGGAAGTCGGGGTTTGGTCATCTATTGTGCATGACACAATATTTTTCCAAAATTTTTTTACGACAAATTTTTTCACTTATAATTCATGTATCACAATTCCAGGAGTCAAAGTTTCATCACTAAGTTGACTGTGCCTTTAAACGCTTGGAAAAAATTTCCCGAAAATTATGTCATGGCTTTAAAAGCTTTTTATAGGCTAATTGACATCATTTGGTCAATTGGGGGTGCCTAGGATTTTTGCAAGCCCACCTTTAAAATCAGTGCCCCTTTGCTTTCATCATAGAAAACAAAAAAAATCAGCCAAGACCGCAGAAAAAAAAGTGAGACCTCCACAAGGGTTTACCCTTGGGGAAATTTCCCAAAAGCCTGAAGGGGACCAATTCATCTGTACAAACAATAGTACGCAAAATTTAAAAACCAGGGACCACGCAGCCGTCATAAAAGCTCAGAAAAGGAACGCTTTCTGTCTCCTTGAGAAACGTATTTGGGGGTAAAAGTGCAAAACAATCCCCGAACAACAGCAAAAGGGCCTTGTGAAGTGCTGGGAAACAGGACAAAATATCTAATCCACAGTAAAACAGTCCTATTTCACATAAACCCGAAAGGCCGCTCAGCAAAGGGAAAAAACCACTGCCCAAAACGGCCCATAAAAAAGCCAGACTAAAGGTTGCAATGCACATGGGGACAAAGATCGTACTTTTTTTTGGAGAATGTCCCTTTGGCTAATGAAAAAAAAAATGAAAAATGTTTTTTGGGAAAATACCATGTTTTGTTTGAGGAAAAAGGGTGGGGCTTTCAACGAAAAACACCTCCCAACCGTGAACACGGGGGTTTCAGCATCGCTGTGGGGGGGTTTCGCAGGAGGACTGGGGGCACTTCAAAAAATAGATGTGGATATATTGAAGCAACATCTCAAGACATCAGTCAGGAAGTTAAAGCTTGGTCGCAAATGGGTCTTCCAAATGGACAATGACCCCAAGCATACTTCCAAAGTTGTGGCAAATTGGCCTAAGGACAACAGAGTCAAGGTATTGGAGTGGCCATCACAAAGCCCTGACCTCAATCCTATAGAAAATGTTTGGGCAGAACTGAAAAAGCGTGTGCGAGCAAGGAGGCCTACAAAGCTGACTCAGTACACCAGCTCTGTCAGGAGGAATGGGCCAAAATTCACCCAACTTATTGTGGGAAGCTTGTGGAAGGCTACCCGAAACGTTTGACCCAAGTTAAACAATTTAAAGGCAATGCTACCAAATACTAATTGAGTGTATGTAAACTTCTGATCCACTGGGAATGTGATGAAAGAAATAAAGCTGAAATAAATCATTCTCTCTACTATTATTTTGACATTTACATCCTTAAAATAAAGTGGTGATCCTAACTAACCTAAGACAGGGAATTTTACTAGGATTAAATGTCAGGAATTGTGAAAAACTGAGTTTAAATGTATTTGGCTAAGGTGTATGTAAACTTCCGACTTCAGCTGTAGATTAACAAGAATTTAAGCTTTCTGCCCATGTTTATGTCCTGGAAGGTTTGCTGTTACTTACAACAGTCATGCTAATCACATTAGCTCAACCGTCCCGTATACGGGACACCGATCCCATAGAGGTTAAACCATGCATTATTTTGAGTAACATTCAGGCAATGTAGATATTAGAAGAAGAGAGTGACTTTTGGCCTACATAGAACAAAGCTCATGTTCATGTTAAAGATCAAAGGCAATCATCAAAGAGCCTGAGCTCAAACTGGAGGCAAGAGATGATGCAAGGATAGTGAAACAGGCCTACTGCAGCAAATCAAAAAAATATGTTGTATTCATATCTGTCTAACATGCTGGCACCTGGCAAGTTCATATAGCTGATATATGATGATCGTTCTAAACTTAATTAATGAGTAAAAAAATATGAGGGATTAAGATCACTTTATTGGTCCGCTTTTACTCAACCCCTCCGAAAGACACATGTATACAGGTTTTGGAGAGGTGCATGGGGGCTGCCACACTGGGCGCTCGGGGAGCTGTTGTTGTGAGGGTTAAGTGCCTTTCTCAAGGCACAACAGCAGGAAAATTGCAGCTAGGAATTTGATACCAGCAACCAATGGTTGCCAGCTCTTCCAGACAGATTTTTCCAGTCAGACCGAGATTCGAAATGCAATCCTCCGGCCGCTGGTTCACCTCTCTAACCAGTCATGTTGTCAACAAGGCAGCATGGTGACATCCAGAAAATTACACTCATTCCATAAAAGTATTTCATTGGGAAGGCAGATAAAGCGTTTTCAAGCTCACTTGGCGCGTTTACCAGGAT